GGGGGGGGGGGTCCGGCTGAGGCCGCGGGTGCAGGAGCATGTCCCGGGCTGGGTGGTGCGCCCGGGACGAGCAGCTGGTGCAACTGTAGAGAAAGAAGAGAAGTGGTCAGTTCTCCCTGGGGACACAGTGGATGATGCCCAGCCCCCCCACGACGTGAGGGCAACCGTTCCCTGCACCGTCAGAGCCGCTGTGCTTGCACAGAGGCCATGGTCAGGATGTCTGGCTCTCCCCAGGACTGGGAGCTGCCCCAAGACCACACCCATGCCCCTGTGCTGTGTGTAGTGTGGCTGGGGGGGCGGGGGGGAGATGCCCCCTGCCTCTGTGTAGAGGGTGTATGTGAAGGGAGAGCGTCCTGCTGGGTCCTGCCCTGGGGTCAGGAGTGTGTCAGGGCTCTTCACACACTCATGTGCCTATTGGACCACGGCCCCTGGGTGTCACGCAGCTGGAGCCACCTGCCCAAGGGTGGCATGGCACATGCTCTCACGTGCACAGGTGACTGTGTGATCCGTGGGAGGCATAGCCCATGTGTGCCATCCCTGGTCTCCGTCTTCGCCTCCCCCCGGGTAGGGGACAGTGCTGGCACTTACCTGGTATGGCCTCCCTGGATGACCCTGCCGACCCTGGTGCTGGGACAGCTGGTGGTGGCCCCTCTGGTGTGCCCGGGTCAGGGCCCTCCAGTCCCAGCTCGCTGCCTCCCAGGCTGGCGCAGACTGCCCTGCCACCCAGGATTCGGTCGAGGGCGGGGAAGCAGGGGCAGGTGTCAGCCCCTGTTGCGGTGCCGCCCCTGGTGGCCCTGGTGTACGCCTGCCGCAGCTCCTTCACCTTCAGGCGCACCTGCTCTTGGGTGTGCTTGTGGCCTTTCCTGGCCATGGTGGCTGCTATGCGACCATAGACAGCCGCATTCCTCCACCTAGTGCGGAGATCATGGACATTGGGGGCCTCCCCCCAAAACTCAATGTGGTCCATGATCTCCGCACTAGTCCATGAGGGCACACACCGTCTATGGCCCCTGGGTGCTATGGGTTTAGACGGGGGACAGTTGGCTGCCACTGGCTGCCATCATGTGGCCACTGGCTGAGGGTCTGTGGCTGCTGGCAGGCCTGGCTCTTGCATGTGGCCAGAGTTTGACGCTTTAAGGGCTCCGGGGCTGGGGGGGAGCAGATGAGTTCTCCTGGTTGTGCCCAGAGTGCCCACCAGGGGGAACTGGGAAGGGCTGGAGGCCCCCTAATTCAAAATAAGTGTCTGCACTGCACTTATTTCGAATTAGCTATTTCGAATTTGGTGTTATTCCTCGTAGAATGTTGTTTACCAAATTCGAAATAAGGGCTCCACTATTTCGAATTTATTTCGAAATCGCAGTTTGTATGTGTAGATGCTATTGAAGTTAATTCGAAATAATGGCTGGTATTTCAAATTAACTTTGTAGTGTAGACATACCCGGAGGGAATAAGAGTGGTGTGGTGTTTATATTCTTTAGAAGGAATATCCTCTGTCTCCTTCTCTCCTTGAGACAAGAAGACAGGGCTGTAGTGGTATGTGTAAAGCTGCAGTGAGTGAGTAGGAAAAGGAGAGATTTCTCAGACCATGGTGGAGGGTGGAACATCATTAGGGGATGTGCCTGTTCTAACTTCATTTTTGTATGTGTGCGTGTATGTTTCAACTTTAGGTAAGTCTTCAGACGTCTTGAATGCTGTAATGGTGCCTTTAATAGACCACAATACATGTAATTCTGCCACAGTCTATAATGGCTTAGTTTTGCCTACCATGATATGTGCTGGATATCTGAAAGGAGGAAAGGATTCCTGCCAGGTAAATAAACTGTTTATTTAAGCTCTTAAAGACTTTTTTTAAATTATTTTAACACTTGCCAGTGACTATGTCAGGTCCATCTAAATAGACAAGTGACTGTCTTTGGAGCTGCAGTCGGACTTCCCATATTCATCATGCTGAGAGAACTTCGAGAGAGAGCTGCTAGTTGCATTCTCCCATCCCAGTTCCTCAGTCATTGATGCCAGTATCCACTTGTTGCTCTATTTGTGAAAAGTGCTAGATCCTCATTTTCACATGCAAATCTGTAACAATTTCACGGAGCCCTGAAAATGAGTGACCTTTTGAAAATTTAGCAGCACTTTTCTCTTGCTTTTGAGAAAAGGGGAAACCAGTCCTCTCTCACCCTGAATACACAACTGACAATGTGTTTGTTCTTCGTTTTTGTTTTTTTGGGGGCATGTAAGTTAACCTTGTAGTACTGTGACTGAGGTAGCACTTGTTAGATCATTTGTGTGTGAAACTGAGGAGCGTGCCCTTTTAACCTTGTGCCCCATTTCCCAACCATATTAGGGAAGCAAGGATGTGACAAGAATCTTGTGTCTTCAAAACATCACTGATAAAATAAGAATTTCTTCAATACCTAAGCCTCCTGCTGCCAGGCTAGAATAATGAGGAGGGAGAGATGGACTGTGAGAGGCTCGGTCTCCCAGTGCAAGAGCGATGGGATGGGTCATTGCAATTCTCTGACCTCTGCAAAGGCTGAGATGCCCCCACTTCCCTTGGGAGGCAGTTTTTCTCTTTCTGCTTAGGCTCTTGCACACGTGCGATGGGGATCATGCCAAGGCTAGCAGCCTGTTAGTGATACTGGCAGGTTCCAGAGGCAGAGACACAGGAGTGTGCACAGCATAACTGGCTGTGTCCTGCTGAGGCTGCTGGCCTGAAATATGTCCTGGGCCAGGGAGCAGTGGGGTGGGGTTCTGGACCCTACATCTCTGTTTCTTATAAAAAGAAGGGCATGCCTTGGACATGGATTTCCACAGGGCGTTGCAGCAAAATACGTTTGGTTTTAGATGCAGTAGGGAAGCAATACTTAGTGGGATTTTTATTGTTAGCTCTGAGAATTGGCTGCAATTTTTAATCTATATTTATCAGCTCTTTCCAACGGGCTAGGTCACTAATAGCATGCTTGTGTGCTTGTGTCTTTGCCCAGGGTGACAGTGGAGGTCCATTAGTAACTGAGAAAAACTCAGTGTGGTGGCTAGTTGGCGACACAAGCTGGGGATCTGGCTGTGCCAGTTTGAGAAAACCTGGAGTTTATGGAAATATGACTGTGTTCACTGACTGGATTTACAGAAATATGCAGGTACAATATATATTCAGGCTCTTTCTTCAGTATTTCATTCAGACGTATTGAATTTAGACTTAAGGTCAGAAAAAACCATCATGACCGGAAAGTCTGACATCCTGCACATTGCAGGCCACAGAGCCTCACCCACCCACTCCTAACCACTGGCTGATGTACTGAAGTCCTCAAGTCATGATTTAAGTACTTTGAGTTAAAGGAAATCCTGATTTTACTATTCCAAATCCTGATTACTCAAATTATGAAAAGTACCATCACATTTTGAGAGCCATTAATTGGCTTTATCATATCAAATAATTGAGAGCACTTTTTAAACTGAGCCATTTGATATTCACTACTATTTTTTTTTTTTTTTAAACAGGCAAATAGATGATCATGGTATCTGCTATTCTTGCTGAATCACTTTCAAGAACAGCCCTAAATGGAACAATGGCTTTCTTGTTTATGTACTTTTTAAAAGAATTTGTAGGTTCTTAATTATTTTTTAAACTACTTGGAAATGTCGTCAAGTTTTGCACACTCAGTTCTGTGCTGGCTGCAGTGACTGATCTATTTAATGAAGTAGAAGATTCACAACACGCACCTTTCTCATGATGGTGACTGGTGGCACAAAGTTGCTTAAACTGGTAACTGACATGTTCTTTTCATTTTGTCGCTTCCAAATGTATAGGATTTTCTATAATCACAGTTGTAACTGAAATTATCACTTGTAACTGAAATTATCAATTACAAGCAGGGTTTTTTGACACTTGCCTTATTGGCATACTTTAATTTTAAACTAACTCATGGTGTGAATATGAATCTCTGGGGTCCTAGCTAGTGACTTAAAGAGGAAAACACATGGCGAATGTCAGTCTTGGCATTTTTCTTGAAGGGAAGCTGTTTCATGTATTGGACACTAGAGACAAGGAGAAATGTCATGGCATATATTCAGGTAATTAAAAATCCTCAGGATCTTTGCAAGAGCAGTAACAGCCAGGCTGATCTCTTTGGATTTACTCCCAACATAAACAGGATCGGCATTTAGCTTTGTAATTGAAAATGTGCCATTGTTCTTCACTGTTGCCTTTCCTAGGTCCTACATCTAGTATACATGAGAAATATGATAACTGCTGTTCCCAGCAGCCTATCTTGACAAGCTCTTCTGGTTTGTTGCAGGACACCGTGTATTAACAGCATGTTCAGGTTTATGATGTGGGTGTTGCTATTTGACTCTGAAAATTCCCTTCTGAAATGCGAAGAACAATGCTTTGCTGTGCTCTTCCATGTGGTCATTCTGTGATCACAGCGTAGGTAGAGAAGGCTGAAAATAGAGATTTAAGAAAATTAAACCCTTTCCATCTAAACACATTACTACCTCAGTTTTAGAGTACAGTAATTTGATGTTTAACTCCATAGAATGTTCTCTGAACATGTCTAACCTCTAGCTATTTTAGCAGACAAATTAAATTAAACATTGGTATAGCTCTGACAAATTGATCAATG